CACACACAAACTACTCACATCACACACACACACACACACACACACACACACACACAAATTAAGATTTAAAAAAAATCAAACAACAATGAAAAGGCCAAGAAGTCTGGGCCCAGAGACAGACAGGCAAAGGAAGAGAAGCTGTGCTGTCCCAGCTGGAAGATGCTCAGCTGGCGCCTTGCTCTTAGACTCCAGCTCCCGGGCTGTGAAGCCGTGTGTTGCTTCTGTTTTCCTTTCCAGCCGGGTTCTGACAGGACAACACCACAGCCCAGAAAGGTGGCTTGCAGGAAACCAGCCCCGGAAACCAACATACACCTCTTCTCTCCGGCCAATCTTACAGTCTTTGCTTTCTCCTTTCCTAACTGATCCCTGGATGCAACAGTGGTAGCACTGTCACATCCCTAAGTCTCCCGGGGAAGAGGCTGCTCGAAGCACAGTGACCTTGAATTGACCTTGCTGTCTCCTACAAAGTCAGAAAGACCCTCTCAGCACCCGCCCCTTCTGCTTTGTTCTCACACATCCCCAGTGTCTCATGCTCGGTACAAATCGGTGCCTTTAATCCCTCTCCCTTCCTTGCCAATTGCTATTCTTCTAGTTCTCCTTTGATCTGAGCCACAGATATCATCGAGTCAGCTCGCTGGGTTATTTATCACTGTTTTCACCTGTCGCTGTTGAGGAGCAGACAATATGTATTAGGAAGTTTGAAGGAGAGAAATGTATTTCAGGAGGGAGGTAAGAAAGCCACGTTCCCTGTCTCTCCCACACCCTGGAAGAATTGACCCAAAGGAAAACAAAAGGATAATGTCAAGCGGCCTGTTTGGAGTCACCGCTAAACGAATACCTCAGGCTTCGATCAAGCACAGCCCGCTTCCCCTCTGAGCCCTAATGAATTCTCTGGTTCTCTTGCTGTGGAAAGTGAGGTACACTGGGAACTCAGGATGCTGGCTTTCTTAGAGTAGCAAAGTAAAGAAAAATAAAAAGTGAGGTCGAGCAGGACTCAGACATGAAAAGCAATTTGTTAATGAAATGTGTCAGGGCTTTGCTTCACAGGTCTCTCTTCCTTCCCTGCCCCTTCCTTCTTCTTCCCTACCCCTCCTTCTCCTTCCCTGCCCCTCTCTTCTCCTTCCTCCTCCCGCTGTCTCTTCTTATTCTATTTTGGGGGATGTTTTTAATTTTTGGTGTCTTTTAAAGCTAGGATCCCAGGTAACTCAGACTGGCCTCCAACTTGTTACTTAGCCAACAGCAACGGTGAACTCCTAATCCTAATCCTCCTGCCAATTGTTGGGGCCACGGGTCTGTCCCATCACGACCAGCACCTTCAAAACTCATTCTACAATTATCTATAAAATATTCTTTGTAAAGCAGCCAGCTCTGACGGTCCAGGGAGCTGACTGTGATTTATGAGTGGGAAGCCCTCCAAAACCTCCTTTGCTCATTAACTTCTGGAGAGCTCCGTGACTACCTCTGTATTCCGTAGTCACTCTGCTCCACCAGGAAGCATCACGCAGGAGTTCAGTGGTGAGAGGCCAAGTGGGGGTCTCTGTTTCATCCACTCTGAGAAGACAGGCTGACCGGGGGAACACGAGTCAAACAGGACAAGCGGAAGCAGATTACGGTCACATGGGTCAGGTGCTGGGAAGTAAGGGTGGCCAGAGGATGGAAGGCGAAACTTAGGGAAATGGACCATTAAGAAGAACATGGTCAAGAGCTCTAGCCACAGCAGAGCACCCCAGAGCTTAAAAGGAAGAGAGGAGCAGAAGCCAAGCTGATGGGAGATCCAGTTAGTCAGCACATCCTTGTCCCTGTAAGAGATGGAACTAAAATCACCGGCCCAAGCTGGTGATCTGTGATGTGGAATTTCCCCTCCGGATACTATGAATATGTTTTATTACCATTGGTTAATAAAGAAGATGCTTCAGCCTATGGCAGGACAGAATGTAGCCAGGCTGGGAAAGATATATATAAAGAGAGAGTAGGTAGAGTCAGGAAGACCCCATGTAGCTGCTGAAGGAGAAGGGCATGCCGGAACCTTACCAGAAAGTCACTGCTTCGTGTCAATACACAGATTAATAGAAATGGGTTAATTTAAGATGTAAAAGTTAGTTAATAAGAAGCAAACAGACCAAGTAGTGTTGCAGTTAATATAGTTTCTGTGTGATTATTTAGGTCCGAGTGGTTGGGAAACAGAAAAGCAGTCTCTGCTTACAAATGATCTGGGGAAGCGGTAGCCCAGGGCATACAGGGGTATGTGGGGTTTAGCCTTTGGACATAGATCCTGTCTCACGTTCTTTTACATCTTCCGCCTCTGATACGCAGCTCCTTGTGTGACCTTGAGCCACAGGGCTCCAACACTGCTACCTAAGAAAAGAAAATCGACTAAACTATTGAATTAAATTAAAATCCTGAGGCGTATTCTAACACATGTTCATATGCTCGGTGACAAGACTCTTCTGTCAAACACCAGCTTCCCCACTGCAGCTGGCAGAACCTTGGGAGGGAGTGGCAAGCAGAGGAGAAAAGGCCTGATGTCTTTCTTGCGGCCTGTAATGGACCTCTCTACAATGGTAGAGAGAGACACATCAGCAGGGCTGGGGCAGTTGTTCTCACAGGAGGGCACTGAGCAATCTAATCAGGGCTCTCTTCTTTTATTCTTCCATGCTTCCATTTCTGACCTGAACTTGAAGGTGTCCTGAGACATGTTCTCTGGGCCTTTGGCTTTAGGCTGTTTGGTTCTTCCATGGATGCAATAGGAGGTGAAATTCTGCGTTTTATACACAAGGTGGATTTTCAGGAGGAAGTGTATGTGTGTGTGCATACGGTGTGCACATGCACATATGTGTGAGTGTGTGTGATATGTTTATGTCTGTGTGTGGGCCTATATATGTATGTGTGTGTGTGTGGCATGTCTGTATATATGTGTCTGTGTACGTATGTGTGTGTACATATGTGTACATATCTGCATGTCTATGCATGTGTGTGACTATGTGTGTATGTGGGCATGCATCTGTGTATGTAAAGTCCATTACAGATTCAGCAGGAAGAGGATAGGGAAGGGACCAGGGAAGAAGGAGGTCTGAGGACCACATCCCTACCCAGGTTTCCAACTACACAGGACACAGAGAAAGTTGCTCACACGTCGGGGCCTCTACCTCAGGACCACTGCGGAGATTCCGGAAGCTATCAGGGAGACCAAGGAAAGGGTGACACTGACTTAAGACTAGGAGCTCATCAGGAAATGAACATCTTGATGGCAACGAGAGTCTCGGGGTAGTGACTGCCAGTGTCTTAACAAGTCTGGGTGGTCACAGTCAGCACACGTTCAAAGGTGCGTAACTCCTCAAGGCCATCACAAGAATCCCCAGAGTCTTTGGAGCCACGGATCAACCCTGCATAGACTTTGTGCAAAGTGATAACACCAGCCAGTGTTGGCACAGGGCTCTTTCCTGTATTCACACATTAATTCACTTAAAACTACATGAGTTGTAAAGTTGTTCACTTTTTGCCCCACCCCCACTCCATTCAGCAGTGTGTTCTCACTTAGTAAGGTGTGGTGGTTAGCGTGGTCAACTTGTCAGGTCTGGAATCACCAAGCCTCTGGGCTTGTCTGTGAAGGAGGATGTTGGCGAGGTGGAGGTGTGCGGGAAGATCTGTTCTACAGGGGGAGGTCTATTCCATGGGGTGAGATCCTGGGCTGTCAGAGGTGAGGTAAGAGATCCATCCCGACTACGGCAGTGACATATCCAGGTGCTTCAAACCTCCAGCCTTGACTTCTCACAAGGCTTTGGGTGCGAGTCAAAATAAATCCTTTTCTCCCCGACGTTGGCAATAATAACGAAAGAAAGACAGACAGACAGAAAGACAGAGGGTGGGGAGGGAGGAAGGAAGGAAAGAAGAAACAGCGGAGAGCCAGGACCCAAGCACCTGGTGGCTGACTCTAGCGTTGACTACCTTGCCTATGCAATCAGCAGGGGCTCACCTGAGTGAAGCACTGAATAGCCGGTGCTGTGTGGATTTTCAGCCAAGCACAGCCCAGCAGCACAAGCTCGTGTGACCAGAGCTGAGACTGGTGCCCATTCACGCATGATGCCATAGCACCTGGGCTATGCAGAGAGGCCTGAAGCTGTTGCCCAATGGCCAACTCACCCCAGCAGGCATCACAGGCAGCATGCTTCAGATGCCACAGGGATGCAACTTCTTGGTTGTAGGTATCAACGTCCTTTCCAAGAATCCCATTGTTAGTGCTAGGGAGGTCGTGCGGCAGGCGAGGTGCTTGCCTTGTAAGCATGAGATGTGAATTCCACACCCAGAGCCAAATCAAAATGAGACATGGGGCAAGTGCTTGTAACTCCACATTCCGGGAGGTGGAGACAGCTCTGGCTTGCTTATTCTAAATTAGTGAGAGACTCTGATTAAAAAACACGAGATGGATAGTGCCTGAAGAATGACAGCTGAGTACTCCAGCCCCCCCACCTCATTCTTATCTTGGGCTTCATCGGCTTCCATAGACACAAGCCAAGAGGATAATACTTAGCTCTTCCCATCAGTAACCAAGTGTGCAGGCTTTTCCCATTAGGGTTACCAAAGAAAAAGGGGAGACGCACCTTCCCTTCCCAAGGCTCTTCCCCATAATCCCCAAACTCACTCACCTATTAAGTGGTCCCTGACTGATTGCAGGGTCTCAGGGGAGAAGAGCTTCAGGCCATATACGACATAGCTGGGAGGGTGCCTGGCTTTGGCCCCTGCATCAAGAAGCAAAATAAGGCCACACAGCATACAGAAATAGATTGGTCTGCTATAGGCTATGATTTGGTTGTGTCCCTAGAAAACAAATACAATTTCCGTGTTGTACTCATTGAGAAGAATCAAACACCTCGTAATACAACTGACACTACCCAACGTGCATCGCCACCCCAACACCCATTGTCACCCCAACACCCATGGCCACCCCAATACCTGTCCCCACCCCAACACCCATCACCACCCCAATACCTGTCCCACCCCAA